ACAAAACCCTCAACTTGTCATAGGTTTTATAAAATTTTAACAATAAATGCGATAGTTATAAACAAATTAAAAAATGGGCACTTTTCTTGTTTTTTTTGTAATAACTTTTTTGTTTATTAACCGATTTTAATTTAACAAGTCTCATTTTGTAGATAATTTTACTCCCTACAAGCTGTCTCAGAGTCACTTTTCGCTAAAATTGATGGTTTTCCCTTCAAAGTGAAAAAACTGTTTTCCTCACTTATTTGTTTAAATAGAAAAGTTAGCTAATAAAAGTTTTTGACTCACGAGACGAGAGATGTCTTGTATTATGTTCCTTTAGACAATTTTACAATAATATCGCGGATAGGACTTTTTCCGAGTAAAAATTTAATTTGCTTGGCCTATATGTGTCAAAAAATATTAAAGATAAACGATTTTTTTTACATCTTTGGCCCCTATATGTTTATTATTAACTTTTACACTACAATATGGCACATCCGTTACAAAACATCCTGTAGATGCAAAAAAATAATTCCAAAAGCTATCAAGCAAACATCGTAGCCTTGCCGGGATGCACCATAAACACGATAATGCCCTACAAATAGAGCAGCGTTATTTGTTTTGCCACACTATTCAAATATTCTGCTACAGAACGATGCAACAAACCGCAACCGAAAGACAGCCTAAAGCTACAACGAAATAAAGCCCATGTCATCATCAAAGGCGCGTCGTGCTTAAAAAAAGAAATAACTTTCGACCCCACCTACCTCACCTGCACCGCCGGGACAGGTGAGAATCTCGACCCGATATCAAAACTATCTTCCGGAGATATCAACGCCAGCGCAAGCCACGAAACTGGCATTACTTTCATTCGCAAAGTGACTCCCTGGTAGAATGTTGTGCGTCCGGTAACGACAAATTTTGAAACGTTTTCGAACCCGTAACATGTGATTTTTGTTTACCAGTGCACCGTTTGTTAGTTTGTTTCCACCCACCCGAACAAAATGAGTACCACGAGTGACAGTCTCTGTAGGATTTTATTGGTGTTTTGCCTATTCGGATGTGTACCGAAGGTGAGTGATAGATCAGGGGTTCGAATTGTCTCTTGTCGTCGCTTTTAGGCGTTAGAAAGTGATATTAAGGTGCCGTATGATTGATGTCGTTGTTTGGAAAAAAGGGAAAAGCATATGATTACGTCCCATACTGGCATTTCAAGCGGTTCGCCTTTTAAGGTTATGTTTTGAGCGCTACATGAGAGCTAGTGGGTGACACCAATATGGAAAAGCGTAGATATTTACTACATCAAATCATCATACTGCCTTATTTAAAGGAAAATGCTGTTATCAATAAACACAAACTTCTATCAGATTTGTTGCGGATTGTTTTTTAAATCGAGATAACGTGTGACCTGTGACGAAAACAGAGGGTATGTCATTCATTAGAACCGTGATGTCATAAAATGCCATTGAAATTCTTTAGAACATAGTTGTAAATTCTCCAAGGATTTTTGTATAGCTAGAAAACAAGTTTTAATGTGTAGATGCATTTTTATATGACAATAAAGTTTTGCTCTAGGAAATAGGCATTAAAGTATTATTATTTCTATAAAGAAAACTATATTTTTCTAGTGTTTTTATACCTACAGAGTGTTTAGATGCTTATAAAGAGTCAAACACAAAGTTTTATTAATATTTAAACATGAAAGGATAACATTTTAAATAATTTCTATAAGTTAATTAAACTTGAGATAAAGAAATTTTAAGCGGCGTTGCTTTAGTCAACAGAATAGTTGTTCCCTACAATATCGTAAGTTATCATTTACAATTAAAAGTTTTCAAAGACATACGACTCTGTCATATAGGAATTATAGGGAATTTTTAAGCTTGAATTGAATTAATTTAATCCTTTTTAGAGAAACATAAAAATATGCGTGATTTTCTCCAAAAGAACTTGCATATTTATTAACGTAATTTTTTTCTTTTATTTATTGCTCAATAGATACAAAATCCACATCACTATTTATCGTACAGTTCAAAAAGTTGTTGGTGTTTCAAAAATCTATCTTTTTTCGTCTTTTAATGACTTTTCGTTCTTTTACTTTTGGCAGTTTATATTTTTTTATTTTTGCCTGTTTCTAACTAAAGTTAAAAGATATCATATGACACTTTTAGCAGACAAAAATAAACAAATTTAAAATTTCAAAGATTATTAAAAATGACCAAAAGCCGAAAACAGACAGATTTTCGAAAAAAGTCGTTGTTTTCAGTACGAGGCGAAACTATTTTCATAAAAATAACCCGTGACTGACCATTTGGGACATGGGTTTATTTCAGCACCCCTCAGAATTTTTTATAACTGCATTGATTTTGCTCAAAATTTAGAATTAGGCCCATCTTACCCCTCACTTCAAAATTTATATATGCGCTAGGTGTGCTTTTTGTTCTTAAGGGGTGAAAACCACCCCTTATTGGAAAAAAAAGAAAAAATACTTTTTTTTATGTAATCAAATCTTTTTTATTTATACAGTATGAGTAATTTCATGTGCTATCTAACATGAAACTTAATGTATCCCAAATTTTCAACCCGGAGAAACCTTTAAAAACCAGCCCTTTGGATGAAAATAATATAATAGTACATTATACTATAAGGGAGAGAAATGCGTTATTTTGGCAGAGGTGCAATTTGAGGGCGAAGCCCGAGGGCTACAATGCACCGAGGACAAAATAGCATCTCTCCCGAATGGTATATACTATTTTTTCCACGGTCTCATTAACTTAAAAACATATATTTTGTCATTATGAAGTAAGTAGCACCAGAATTATTGTATTCGGATTTGAGCATTTATTTAGTAGTCGTTGAGTTATTGTCATAACTACAAAATAAACAAACAAAAAGAATTGTCAAATTAAGGTGCTAGTTTGGTTTAGTTTAAAGTTTGTTTAGTGCACAATGAATAATTGTGAGTCGGAAGAGATTGTGGAGGCTGCAAATATTGCAATAAGCAATTTGCTGCCTACGAAGTCAAGATCTTTATACGATATAGCCTACAATCGGTTCAAAAAGTGGTGCGCCGAGAAAAATGTTCAAGTATACAGCGAGAATGTTTTGTTGGCATACTTCAGTGAAAATGCAAAGAATTACAAGTCTTCCACATTATGGGCGCAATATTCTATGGTTAAGTCATGCTTGATAATTTACGACAACATAGATATAAGCAAATTCCCCAAGCTGATCGCATTTTTGAAAAGAACCGGTGACGGATATCAAGCGAAAAAATCGAAAATATTGACAAAGGGTGAAATCGACCGTTTTCTATCAAGTGCAGATGACAAAGAATTCTTAATGATTAAGGTAAGATTACTTTTGTTGTTAGGTATTTCAATTATTAAGTATTTTGATTTTTTATAGGTTGGATTAATTCTGGGGATTGCCGGAGCTTGTCGAACTGATGAACTAGTCAATTTAACTGTAGATGATATTGAGGATGTAGGCTCTTCCTTGATTGTAAAAATTCCAAACACTAAGACAAAGATTCCACGAACCTTTGTGGTTACCGATGTGGGAAATATGCTTGAATTGTTTCGAAAATACCTGTCCCTTCGTCCTCCCCACGTCAAGCATAAGCGCCTTTTTTTGTACTACAAAGCAGGAAAATGTAGTTCGCAGCCAGTTGGCAAGAATACCATGGGAAAAATTCCGAGTGTAGTAGCTTCGTATTTAAAATTACCTGATGCTGCATGTTATACTGGTCACTGCTTACGAAGATCTTCAGCGACATTACTGGCAGATGCTGGTGTGGATATCACGACAATAAAGCGTCATGCTGGTTGGAAATCAACGACAGTCGCTGAGGGTTATGTCGAGAACTCCATTGAAAATAAGACCAAAATTGCTAATCAGGTTTTAGTAGGTACCACTACTAGCGCAATCACAAAAACTGTAAATGTAAGCGAAAGTAATATTCCTTCTAATATTAATTTTGAAAATTGTACAAATGTAACATTTAATTTAAATGCCAATAAACAATTTCAGTGTTATCTTTTTTTTTGCATGAAAAACGTTCTCCATAATGTAAACTCCCTTGGAAGCATTATACTCCCTTGGGAATAATCGACTGCTTCTCTTTTAATTTTGATGTCATAGAAACTGATTTCCACTCCCGACCGTGGAAAAAGAAAATTTTTCAACTTGAAACGTTTTAATCATGTATTTTTATCAAATTAAAATTGATTTCTTGATTAAAAAATCTTTTTTATCGATTGCATCTTTTCAACCCTTGAAAAATACCCCTTTCGAAAATAAAATGAAAAAATATTATTGAAAGAGTAGAAACATTTTAATTGTGCATTCATATTAAAATAAACATTTATTCCCTTCTTATAAAATAATTTTGAATTGATTGCAACTTTTCAACCCTTAAAAATTACCCCTTACATTTATTTATATATGTCGGAGTGGTAGGGCTAACTTGGGCGTTAATATCACTACTCGTGTCACACATCTTCACGAAATAATAAGTAATACCGTAAATGAAATGATTTAAAATAAAACGTTACAAATAAAGTACTCGATGTGTTTTATGACAACAACCAGAGGCCCGATAACGAATCCACGGTCAACGAAATAGCAGTGTACTCACGTGTTCAATGCTCAAGTAGAACTGCCCTCAGTACATCTCCCTGTACTTCTCTTCACTCAGGTCAAAATTATTCTTAAATTAACCAATCAAATTCGTTATTTCCTAGGGATTCCCTTATAAAGTAATTATAAGGTAAATGCTTTCTATCCTTTGACCGCGGCTACGTTGAGTGACCCTTAAGTCCCTCCAAACCTAAGCTTGCCATCATAAAACTCGGGAATAACATAACCGGCTTAATTCATAAATAACTATTTCTAAGTTTTATGGTCTAAGTACAATTTATAAACGGGTATTCCCTGAGTAAAGAATTCTGGAATTTCCAAAGTCTGAAGGACTGGGCCCGTGAGAAAGACATCTCCGACATATATTTATATATTTTTTCTTAAAATTATCACCTATACATGTGTTTATTTTTTTGACGGTAACTTTTTTACCTTTTAAGGTTTTTAATCGCACAAAGGCTCATTTTGCAAGGAATTGTAAGGGCTACGTGAATTGTTGAGTTGATCTTTTTTAAGCCCTTAATTTTTAAGTTTGAAGGGTTTAAAGGTCTCGAAAAGGGTGGTTCTCTCATTCATATGATAACTTAAAATGGCGATATCTCGATTAATATTAATTTTAGAGGAATAATAAAAATAAGCAAAATCTTCAGCAAAAATAAAGCTAATTTTTTTACTCTTGTATTTTTTTCGTACACCCTTCAATTTTTAAGTTACAGCGTAAACATCGATTTTTTTCAAAAATTTGAAAAATTTACATTTTCAAAAATTAAGTTTTTTTTCGAAATCATGCTTTGTAAGTGAGCCAAAGATCCAGAACATATTCTTAGAACATAAATGAAGAAATCTGTAAATGGATTGCATTTAATTTTAATTATGTCGCCAAAGGCACTGATTTGTTTATTAATTTTTTCTTTAAAAAAATGAGACTATCATGTTACTTCGATCATATTTGCGTTAATTTTGATTCTAAAGAGTTTTAAAATAGCACATTTTAAAGGTTTTTCAAAGTACTTTAAAAAAGGTTCAAATAGTTTTTTTCCTAATATTTATGATTTTGGCGTTATTTAACGTTAACTGGTTCCAATTTAGTTTTTAGTAACATATAATAATGTTTAAAAATCCATAACTCGGTTTATATTGCAATTAGAGAAAAACAAAATAATGCCATTAGATTTGTTTTTTATTACCTTTCTTTTTGTTCATTACAACTTTTTCGTTAAATCCAATGGTTTCAGAGTTATTTGCAAAAAACTGTCCGAAAACAAGCACTTTTTCAGTAAAAAATCAACATTTTCAATGACGAATTACTCGGAAAGTATTGGATTATCCAAGAAACTTTATATAACATTTGTTACTTAAAATTGGTTCCTCTATCAATTCCTGAGGTTATTTTGGGCGTAAAAATTTCCACCCCCAGGGCAAAAGCACACTT